GCCCGGCCTGCAGCGCCCGCGCAGCCCGCTGGCTGGGAGGAGGGCGGGCGGGTTTCGAGTCCCCCGGCAGCACGGCCTTGTCCCCTCAGGAGCTGCCCCGGGCGCCTGGCAGCTGCAGGGCCCCCTCGCTGCTGTAACTTCTCTGGAATCGGGTCCCGGCCAGGGGAAGGAAACAAACTGTAGTTTGAACTTGCAGCTGAGGGCTCACTGAGGCAAAGCGCAAACGCAGCTCCGTGTTCATTTTGTTAGTCGTGCGGTATTGAAAGTACTTAGGAATGCACGTTAAAGGAGTATTGTTACGGCATTCTGGTTTGGACAGTCAACTGGAAATTTAATTCTGAAGGAGCAGTTGCTTCCTTCAAGCCCTGAACTGAAAAGGCGACCTTGTGGCATGACCCATTGGGTATTTTTTAAATATCAGAAAAGAACATTCTGCTCGCACAAGCACACACCTACCTTCAAAAAAAGTACAGCCCAAAAACATCAGTTCAACCAAGAAAGAATCTATAGCTGTATGTGCTGAGGCAAAAACCTACATGAGACGTGGCAGGAGAGTTGCTGGAATACCAGTAGCCTCTAGAATATGTAATTTAACATGCTACAGTTCCCTATTCTATTCTAAAGCTGCGACTTTTACATATTGGATGCAAGATAAAGGGTCATGAGTAAATAATAAACCTGTTCAATGACTAATTGAGCCAAGTAGAGTAAATACCATAGCAGAGCACCAGTTGTGCTGCAAAGATTGAAAACATTTTTCCACTCCACGGCTGACATTTCTAAGCACTCTAAAATCCTCAGACTTAGCGTGAGTTACGAGCACGTGACCAGAAGGATTTGGCTGCAGCAGTTTAGGGCTTGAGGCACAGCAGCATTATGTGTTTGAACTCGGTTTACTCCAGCTACAGGCTCCAGTGTGTTTCATGCTAACATCATTTAGTCCACAACTGGGGCAGGTTAAGAGTGCACACACAGTTGGTAATGGCTTCAGCTGATGAGCAGTGACATCTTTGGTCACATCCATTAGATCATTTTCATTTATGTGTCCATAGTACGAAATGGCTTTGAAATTTGGCATACTTACGGCAGTAATGAGGTTTGTTTCTGAATTTTGTACATGGGATTAACAATGGGAAAAGGATTGTTCTTGTATGGCTGTACAGTTCCTTAAATATCTAGGCAGGCTGTAGACATACTCTAAATCTAATCAAACTGACTGCAAATTTTAATACCTCACTCCCTTTACCAGATATTTCAACAAGAGCAATTGACAGCCTAGATGATGAACTGCTGGAGTGCTCAATTTGCCGTACCCAGGTAAGTTAAGCAGCCCATCTTTGCAACACATTTTTTACTCTCCCAGGTTAGCAATTCCTGAGTGCTCAGAGGAACATGATAGAGATGTGAGGACACTAGTTAAAAGTCTTACATCAGAGGAGGATTTTCTTAGACAAGTCTTGCAAGGAAATGCATGATCCTTTATTTGTGTGGATGTTTGTGTGAACGTATGCTTCTGTCTTCCTGTCCACCCGTCATTCCCTCAGTAACTTATTAATCCATCGCCCAATTTCAATCAAATACAACAGAGCCAGATAAGGCTTAAAGATATTAAGTTCCTACAAATTTAAATAGGCGGCCAGGGAGAGGAGGGAGACCCTATTGATTCCTGCCTGTAAAGGAAAGACTGCAGTGTGACTGCTTTTACTAAATACCAGAGAATGCACATAAAAAATCACCCTTGGGGCAGAGATCTAGAAAAAAAAGATTAAATTGGTCCCATTTCCAGTGGAAGTCTTTGGTTTTAATTATTGTGTGTATGGTAATGCCTATTAATTCATACCATGTGCTGCCCTAAGACTGAAATCACAGGCTGTTATAATATAGTTGATGTCCTCAGGCATGAAAGTTTTAAATTTTTACTTCATCCAACCTCATGAACTCTGTGAGGGGTTTGGTGACAGGAGAGTTAAAAGGCGCCTTTCTGTGGAGTCTATTGGTGGCAGAAAGTCTCAGAACACAAACACAGCAAAGACTTTCCTGGATCCAGCTGGAAGTGGGTATTTCATCCTCTGAACAGAAGCCAAAGGCTTGAAGTCTGAACTACATCAACGTCTTGCACACCTGCAGAAGCCAGCATGCCTTTATTTCAGTAGAGAACTGAAATCAATCTTTTGACTGTACAAGCAGTATTCAGGATGGGCCAGCATGCACCAACATCTCTCGGACCTTCCAACAGATAACTGCCTTTTTTTTTTTTTAAATGGCTATGCATATAGCCAAATAAAAGCAATGATTCCTGGACCATGGCTCACAGGAATTGGTGCCCATGCAATCATCTGCCATGACTGAGGGCCACAAGGAACCACCATCACTTGGTACAAAATGGCAGGGAAAATAATGTGTGGTATGTCCACAGCACATATGGTTGCTTAGACTTGGGGCCTATAAATTTGCAAAGATTCTGGGCTACTGTCCTACATGTTTTCAGTGTTTATATGGATGATTACTTTCAGTCATGTTAAGTTCCCGACCTCAAAATCTCTTGGTCACAAGCTCCTTGGGTTCATGACGTACTGCACTGGAAAGGTATCCCGTTTTTTCAAGATGTTGCTTTTAAGTATCTTATTTATAAAAGGCATCAGCCTCTGGTTGGGTTTTTTTCCCTAGTTCTTTAACTGTACATTTTTGACTGTCATTATATGCTGCTCACATAGTTCCAGCAAGTAGCTTTCAAATTTACCCACATCTTTTTATGACACTCTCTCCTTTCAAGTTAAACTCTATGAAACTCAGTTGAAGACAGTTTGTTTAAAGGATTTGTATGTTAAAAACCATAACAACTAGCAGGTAAAAGTAGTATCATGTTAAAAATCCACATCACAAACCATGGAACAGACAAAGAATAAGATTGAAGAGTATTAAAAAGTTGTCAACCATCTGTCTTCAGAGATTAAAACTTTCCATAAATTCCCCTTTATCTCCTCAGCCAAGCTCCTCCAACAAACCCATGTTTGAGGTATTGCAGAAAACTGGCTTCTACACACAATTTAAATATGAAGCCCCTCCCCCCAAACCCCAAGAACAAGTTACCTTATGGAAATCATTGATCAAAAGAAGTAGTTTATCTTAAAATACTCCGTACAAGCACAGCAAATTTGTTAGCTCTTGGAAATTGTTTATAATATTAGTACAACAACTACTGTGCATATTTATGACGTGGCAGCCAAGGAGTCGATATAGGCATAAAGATTACAGCCATCATCTCCTGTTCAGTCCTCAATGACTTAGAAAACCTGCCACCTGGAGTTTGGATTCTAAAATGATGGTAAAGTACATAACATTTCACAAACAGATTAAGTTAATAAATTTGTGACTAGAAAAAGAAGGAAGCTATTGTAAGTGCAAACCTGTAATTCATAAGTAGTACAGCGTAAGTTACAACATTCCTGAAACCAAGAGAAAACATACATCTGGGATTTTCAAATTCCTCTGAGTGGCTTATGAGCATGTATTTCATAGAAAATTCGGGATTTGGGTGTTCTAAATCAAAGCAGCGTTTCATCAAAATGCCTACTAGGAATGGTCATTTAAGAAGAATGTGGCTGGACAAATGAAAATTTGTGAAGGAAAAACTACCTTGAAGAAGAATGTTTCAGCTATTGGTACTCTTGTCCCTCAAAAATATTTGCAAACAAAATATGCAGAGTGCAGTTTGAATTCATGTTTTCTTCGTTTTGCTGAGAAACTACAACTGAAACTTGTCATTCTTGCAGGCAGCACCAATAAGCTTGAAGAGGCCAACAGCAGAAGACGCTTGATAGAAGTTCTTGGTGAAATGGATTTCTCTCTATGGAGAAATAAGTGTTAGATGGTTGGGATGAGACATCAGTGAGACTCACAATACATCAAGAAAAAGTAATTTTAAAAGCGACACATAAAGGCGAAAAGTCAAAAAGGTGGAAAAGATTGGAAACTACAGAAATTCCACATTTTGTTTCAATCTTTGTAGACTTATGAAGACACAAAGTCATAAAAGCGTATGACAAAACTTGGGAGCTTTATGAAGTACAGATTTGGGCACAAATGCATTTTCAACTGAAGGTGGGGCTGCTTAGCAGCACAGATGGGCCACTGCCCTGTAATGGGGGTACATGGACCTTGCCAGACAGTGCTAAGGAAGGCAGCTGCCAGTCCCTCCCTGCCTGCCACCTGTATATATAGGGCACATCTGCTCCACAATAGCCATAGGAGAGCTAAGATATCCAATTAAGAACAGCTAAAAGGCTTCTCAGAGTTCTCAAAATATGAAAATCTGTATTTGTTACTGATCTTACTATTTATGTAGGAATATACTTTAAAATGGGCAATGGCTAAGTGTTAAAGTGACAGCATCTATCTTGCCTTCAAAAGAGTTTGACAGTTTGGACTGAACTCTCAAAATTTCATTATTTACCATTTGGCTCCCCCTCAGCTTTATTAAAGGAAACAACTGTGTTTAGCCTGGAAAAATATTTAGGGTGGTTTTAAACTGGTGTTAACAAATCAAGATTATCCAGTGGCTTGGGCACTAGTCTAAGACTTGGAAGACTGCATATAATTTTGTACTCAGCCCAAAACGAGTCCTCTGAGTAACACTGCCCACCAATAAAAAAGAAAATACTGATACTTCTCTATTGTGAAAAGAAATTGGAATCTTGTGATGAAAAGCATTATAGAAGAGTCAAATATTACTACTAATGTAAATTTATTGGCAGTCAATTAGGTGGTGATAACCAAATGATTTATGAGCAGTAAAAGAAATGAAGCCTACTTTCCCATGAAGAACATATCCCACGGCTTCACCTTTACAGAAACTCCATCTTCTGTCTCTCCAAGGCCACTCAGGGCCCCACCACACAGGAGACGGGATGTGCTGTGGTCAGTCCAGAGCTGCACAGGAGCTCCTGTCCATCAGCTTGGCTTGCTGATCTTTCCAGTAGCATAAATGTGGATCTTTTACCTCAACCCAGTCATGAATTTTGTCAGAAACCCAAGGAATGTAATTACTTTTGAGACATCTACGCCTCTTTCCATTTAGACTTAAACTGCTCCATGGGTTCAAAAGGTATGTGGTGGGGAGCAGAGGGAAAGAAAGTTGAAAGACACAAGAGGTAACCTCTGGTTCCCTAAGGAGCTAGGCAAACCCATAGGGTGGTTTTAGTCTATGTTTGAACTAGTCACTAATCTTTCCTGACCCATTCCCTTCTCAATACAGAGGAAAATAACAGCACTTCCATTCTTCACTGGAGGTACTGACGAGGTTGTCCCGAGCATCAGTACTTCACCCTGCGTATGTTAGGGTGAGTGTGTTTTCTCAGTTACTTTAGAACCAGGCTGACTCTGTGATGATGTCCGTAACAAAGAGCTGACAACTGGAGGCCAGCTCCTGTGCTACAGAAAGCCTCTTTCAAGTTAGTGCAATTACTTGCATGAGTAATCAGTGTGTGTACTAATAAAGGTTGCATGGCTAGCATTAATACCAAATCCAAGAGCTCAAAGTCATGACTGCTATCTAGTGTTACAGAACCCGAACGTTGTAGGATTTGCACAGCTCCCCCCCAGCTAACCCCAATTAAAGACAGAAATAATAGAATTATCTCTATTAACAGCAAAAAATTGCTCCAGTGACTGATTTTTTTTCCACCCACCCCAAGACTGAATCACTGTGTGGAGTATGCCGTGTAGCTTTGCTGGAGTAGCTGGAGAGACAGGCACTGGAACTAGAGAAAGCCCAGCAGCATGCAAGAGAGCTTAAGTCATAAATATGTATGAGTTCATGTAAAAAATAAACCTGATATTAATATAACCAAAATCTGAGATGGAGAAGATCTGCCGCTGAGTCACGCAGAGCACTCTTTGCCAAATGCCTCAGCTAAGAAATTATTCTGCATAAAGTTGAAAGCCTGCCACAAAACAAACACTTTCAAATTCCACCCTAAAAAGCTGCGGTGATACCATTGGCCGTTCTGATCCTGTTACTTCAGAGATGTTAGCTCTTGCTGGCAAGTTTCCTAGGCACTTTCCAGTAAATGGCACAGA